ACCTTGGTCCGGTGGTCTGGTGTCCTCTGCGTCTTTGTATTGTGGAATCAGGTGGCTGCCTCCTATTTGGTATTCTCACATGTGTGTTCTATTTATTTCACTTAAGAGGATGGCCTCAATATGCATCCATTGAGCTATAATCAATCATTATTTTTTAGTGCAAATTGAGAGGGTTTGAAGAAAAGATTAGGTATCTTAGAAAACAGAGACAATGTAAATAAATCATATAGTTAAATTAACTAAGAGTTAAGTATGATTTAATAAATAATGAGCATTACAGTCTGCAAGTCTTGTTCTCATGAGTTGTATTTTTGGTTTCTGACATTATTGAGCTTTTATTATGCTTTTAACTAAATTTTGTATTCCTCTTATAAATCACTTGTGTTTAGAATTCTGTTGTAAGTTACTATTCAATCTGTGATACAATCGCCACATCAGGGAACCATTTCTATAAATGAATGACACGTGGAGACAGAAATGCTCTTAACACAAATCTGAAAAATCTAATTAACCCACAGCTACTACAGATGGGTCCTGAGGAATGGAAGCATTTTTAAAAGTCACTGTAGGGTCAGGGATGTAACTCAGTGGTGCTGCTGCCTGCCTCGAAAGCACAAGGTCCTGAGTTCAATCCCCAGTAGGAAAAAAAAAAAAAGTGACTGTATAATGCCAATTTGTAGCCAGCACTATAAGAAACTTTGTCCTAAGTGTTTTGAAAATTAATTTTGTTTCTTTTTCTTATACATACTTACATAATATGCTTACAAATAAACATGAGTGTAATTTTTTCACTTTCATAAAAAACAAAATTAAATTTATGGATCCTGAGGACCCATGAGTAGTACATATTAAACTAAAATGAAAAAGAAAAAAATAATAAAATGAGTTGGTAGTAGCTCCAACTAAAACGTTTCAAACTAAAAGAAATATTGAAGCGATTTCAAATGTTATCTTTTTTTTTTTGGTATCAGGGATCGAACTCCGTATCTTGCACTTGGGAGGCAGGTGGCAGAACCACTGAACTAAATCCCTGGCCTGCAAACATTATCTTGACATTAAAACATCAAATAAAAAAGTTATGAAAATATCATTAAAAATTTTTAATTTTTTAAATTCTGAAAGGGAAAAAAACAGAAAGATGAAAAGTAAAATGCTAATGCATATCCCACATACTGGAAAACCTAACATAGTGGAAACATTAATAGAGATAACAGTAAAGAATTCATTTAGTAGGAAGAGGTTGGAACAGGTACCAAGAACTAAAACAATGGACTAATTAGTAGATAGAAGAAAGTGGAAAAATGATGAACTATCATTTGATGTTACAACCTACTACTGTAGCTTATTTTGGCTGTACCATTATTCAGCCACCTCAACTAAGGAGGACATGATAACCAAGGGGCAAAGGTCTCACAACACCGAAAACGGACAACCACAGATTTCAAGTACTTCTCTCATAACAGAGTAATCATTTTATATCTTTACCTTAAATAAAATACTAAGAAGACTCATGTTTTCTCTGTCAATAGTATATGAAAAGTAGAAGCAAGGAGAGATTTCAAGAGCTGGTACACTAATAATATCATCAAGTTAGCTAGGTGATAAGGGACACACACACCCCATCACTGACAGTTAACAACAAATTAAAAACTGAAAAAGCACACTAAAACTGACACTTGAACAACACAAGTTTCAACTGCTTGGGTCACTTATAAAAGGATTTCTTATTTTTCTATTTTTGAAGATTTGTGACAATTTTTAAGAACCCAAAGATGAACTTCATAACTACAACTACCAAAAAAAATTAAGAAATGTATATCATGAATGTATAAAATATATCTAGATACGATTATTTATCAGTTATACCATAAGATATACAGAAATTACAAAAAGTTAAAATTTATCAAAACTTATAAAAACACAGATTATGCATGGCACCATTAGCAGTCAAGAGAATGTAAACGCAAAGATACCATACTAAAACATAAGGCTGCAGTACCCACTGAATGACTAATACTTCTGTAGCTGCCGCCCACTGCTACTGTAGTCAACTCAAGCCCCACCAGTACCTATGTAAAACACTGTGTGGCACAGGTCATCTCCAAGTGAGCAGCTTGTTTCTCCAGAGAATTACATTTTGTAGTACGAAGTGAGATGATTTCAAGTTTCTCATGATTCTCATGTATTTTTGTCATATGTAATACACAGAACACACAAAATATGTTCAGCTATTTATGGTATCCACAAGATTTCCACCAAGAGTAGGCTATTAGTAGTTAAGTTTTGGGAGACTGAAAAGTTATCTGTGGATGTTCTTACTGGGAAGATCAGCTCTCCCTTAACCTGGTGTTGTTCAAGGATCAACAACAGTCTCAAAATATCAGAAGGAACTATACAACCCTAAACTTCACAATTAGCCCTAAACACATCAGACAATGATATTACTAGGAGATGAAAAATGTTTAAGTTATGATCGGTGACTTTTGTTTAAACATCAACATTTTAAAGTAATTTCCACCTTATATGATTTAAATTAAAAAGTGGAAATAGGCTTCAATGCCCCAAAAAGGTTACTTATGTTCAATATCTCATTCCACAGTCAAGATATAATAAAAATGAAACAGAACTACAGGTGGTAGACAAACTGTAATTTTGATCATGAAGATACACCATATTTAAAATACGTCTGAATGAGATAAACATGCTTATGTGATCTAGTACAGTTTGTATCAGTCTGTACAGTGCAATGATCTGGCATTCTGAGCACACTGACATACCCCATTTGGCTTGGCATGTGTGTTCTCTTGCCATTTGAATGTTGGCTGCTTTGTGTTGAACACGAAGTTCAAAGCCACAGCAAAAAATCTGATATCGGGGCCTGTAGCTGTAGCTCAGTGGTATAGTGCTTGCCTAGCATGCTCAAGGCCCTGGATTTGAACCCCAGCAGCACAAAACAATAAAAACAAAACTGATACCCTTTTCATACTTATTAACAGAATTTTCATTTTTCACTAGTTAAAACAGAGAACTGTAGCCATTTTAGGATTCAAGTAATAATTTGTACTTGGCAAAAATTTAATCACCTAGTATATGTGAGGTGAGCTGAACCAATGTAAACATAGCAGACCATGTATAATCACAGGAACTTAAACTTCAGAATATGTCCTTATATAATCAATTTTCTACTGTTTTTCAAGCAGTCTCTCTATTATGAATAAAGATAGTATACAAATTTTTAAATCTGGAATTATCACTTAAAAACAGACAATATTTTAAATGTGGAATTATTTAAAACGAGACAAAATTCCAATTTTCTTTTTTGTGTTTGCATCAAATATAATTTCATCCATACTATCTTTCTCAGAAAAAGTCATTTTGAATTAAGTACGAAAGATTCTGGCCCAAAAGAGTAATATTTTGTGGTGCCAAGTGAAAAATCTCTGAAAAATATTTAAATAAAACTAAATTTTTAACCAAAAATATGCAAACTTTGCAGCTGATTTTGAAATGAAGATAAGCAGGGCAACAGTTAACCAAATCGCATGACCTAAGGTCCTTCTTTAGAATATCTGTATCTAATCTAGTGGATCATCTAGCATTCCAACTTTCAATGTCATAGTGACATGGAAGAAAAACCACAGGAAACAAATGCCTCATGAGGTGATCTTATGAAGAAATTTGGACTTGAATCTGATCAGGCCTCTGTTACTTTCAATTAAAAAAAAATTAGGGGGCCGGGGATTTAGCTCAGTGGTTCCGTCACCTGCCTCGCAATCGCAAGGTCCCTAGTTCAATCCCCGGTACCAAAAACAAAACAAAACAAAACAACTTAGGGGCACAGAGAAACATCAAAAGGATGCAATCATCAAAATCTAGTCTAAAAATCTAGAAATGCTATAAGACAGACGACGCAATTTTTTTCAACAGATAAATTCACAGAGTAGCTCAACATTTCATTAAAACTCACGGCTTCAATCTCATCTCCCGGAAACCTGACAGAGCTTCTTACTCTCTGGGAACCTGTATCATGGTACATGAACACTAGATTATAATTACATATCCTCTGATTACAGTACCAGCACGTAGAGAATGACAGGAGTAGCTTGGAACGGGGCTCTGAATTTAGATAAAATCTCAATGCTGTCCTCTCTATAAAGCAAAGAAAATGTCACCTGCTGCTCAAAGGAATTTTGAAGGATTCCATGAGAAAATAAATGTGAAATATATTTTTCCCATAAGAAAAACATTGTAAAATATACAAAAAGTATAAAAATATATGCCAATGCTTGGAATATCGTAGTCAGTAATTATCTGATGACTGAATAAGTGAAACCTTAAGCAGCAAAATTAAACAGTGATTTCAACTACATTCTTATAGTCTCCAGTGAAGAGTAAAATGTCAAAAAACAAAAAATAATAACAACAGGCCAGGGATTTAGCTCAGTGTCGCCATGCCTGCCATCCAAGTGCAAGGTCCTGAGTTCAATCCCCAGTACCAGAACAATATATATAATAATAATAACCCCCTAAGGGAAAGATAACTGGGGTGGGGTGGGGGAACAAGTCACTAATTTCTAAATTGCTGAGCCTGACCCTAAGTACTAAGGAACAGCTTTACTACAACAAATACTACCTAATAAAGAATAGAATTAAAGGCTTAACTTGACCAAATGTGGTAAAAGCAATGCAATTTATTTTCTAAGAACTCTCGATATAATCATCTCCAAGCATAATTTTAATAATACGGAAAACATTTTTAATGGCTTTTGAAATGGCAGCCTTACTATTATGAACCTATTAAATCAACCACTTTTCCATCTGAACAGTAGGTGGCGTGACTCACAAACCTTGAGCCGGCTGCTGCAAAGTGATATATTTAATAAATCAATAAATATTAAAAGCTCAACATAGCATTATCCAAATTTCCGAAAACATTCATTTAAAACTGTTTGAGACCTAATTTGAAGATAAAATTTTTCAAATAATATGAGAATACTTACATCTCAATTTGTCCAGCATTTTTCCACCACACATGGTTGCTAACATAGCCTTAACTGAAAATACCGTCAACTTGCCTCGGCCCTCACTGCAAAATAAATATTAGAAATAATTGCTTTCTGAAACCATAAAAGCAGTCAATGTATCACTTCATATTTAGCAACCAGTAAAAGGACTACTGCCTTTATCAGTTACAATTTTACCACATTTAGAAACCCTTGGTTTTGTCCTTCATCCATGCTAAGTGAAGAATGCTGAAGCTAACCTGAATTACCTGGAAATGAGTTTGTAGGTCAGTCTGTAAAGTAATTTCTACTGGCTGTGAAGAACTCGAATAATTTCTTATTAGTTAAACCCATTATACTCGCATCTGAAGTGTTTTCAGGTAGTCAAAACTGAGGGACCACCTGGTTTGAGTAATTCAGGAATGGGTTCCTTACATCAGGACACTATAACAGGAGCTCACTGTTACGTACTAAACGATAAGGTGCACATGCCTATGAAGATTGTATACTACATTCATCTTTGTTTTCATTGTAACAACCTTTGAGTCACCATGCTGGTATTTATTCTAAGAAGCTTAATCATGTCCATTTCAGATCTTCTCAGACACCACTGTGAGAAAGAAGAGGTAAAGGGACATTAATACTAACTCCTTTTTATGAACTGGAAAGATGAAAAGAACGTAAATCAATTACCCAAAGAAATCAGACCACCCACCAACAAAACCAAGACAAGGCCCTGACCCATGTTCACTGCTCCATCCTTTTGGCCATACCCTGGTTCACTGTGGATAAAAAACTCCCTTGCTGACTGTTAAAGTTAGCATACGTAAGTTAACAACAGGTTTCTGTGTTACTCTCAGAGTTTGTGATCATAACTTCGTAGTAACTTAGAGTAAAATACCTTTGCAATAACAGGAACTATATCATCTTGGTTTTGAAAAGCAAATGTCCCCCTATTTACACTCACTAATGATCCTGAGAGTGCTCCTCAGTTTCCAAATCTTTCTTGCACATAGAAAGATCACTACATTTCATTAAGTTTATTCATAAAACAGGAGACTCTGTAACTAGATAAATAAAATTAGGATAGGGTTTTAGTTTTTGTTTGTTTTGTTTTGTTTTTGGATTTTGAGACAGGGTCTCACTAAGTATAAGGCTGACCTTGAATTCACTATGTAGCTAAGGTTGGCCTCAAGCCCTTGGTGATCTTCCTGCCTCAGCCTCCCAAGGGCTGGGATTACAAGCATGTGTCACCACGCCTGGCTCAGGATGGGCTTTTTAAAAAATACACAGTTATGCAGAAATAAAGACATCATCCCACATATAACCCTATACAGCACCTAGAAATTATGAGGAATATTCCTATGTCAAATTTCCACTGTATAAGCCAAGTATGGTGGCACACACCTACAATCCCAGCACTCGGGAGACTGAGGCAGGAGTACTGCCACAAGTTTGAGGCCAGCATGGGCTACATAGTGAGTTCAAGGTCAGCCTGAACTACACAGGGAGATTCTGTCTCGAAAAACAAAAATAAAACAAAATATCCACTGCATTATATGAGAAATGGCAATAGCTGAAAGATAATTAAAAGGAGTAGATTTCTAACAATGATGCAGAACGGTACCATATGTGGTTAAAAGTCACCCAGTGGTGTAAGAACTAGTAAGAGTTTGAAGATTAAATACCACAGTGCTGAGGACTCTGCAGACAGTCTGGAAGGAAAAACATAACATCCAGGAAATGCTATCAGAAGGAGTGCTTTTCTTCAGGAACTGACTGATCTCGAAAGTGATCATTATTGATGGTTCTGCTACTAAGGCAGGAGTATTGCCACAAGTTTGAGGCCAGCATGGGCTACATAGTGAGTTCAAGGACAGCCTAAACTACACAGCAGGACCCTGTCTCAAAAACTAACAACAACAACAACAACAAAAATGAGTGAGAAATAATATATGAAAGATAAAGAATCATATTCAAGAAAGATTAAATATTTGAAAAGCAAGCAAAGTACAGAACAAAATAATTTTTAGAACATTATCTAGAAATTATGTTAAAAGAGAGAAAATTACATTCTGAAATATTTACTTGTGTATATATAAACCATCTGTAAAAGGATACTGAATCAATAACAACACTGGTTGTCTCCAAAATAGGATGATTCAACCTCAGCCTTAAGAGAACTAAAGAGTGGGTACTATTTGTACTGGGTATGATGGCACATGCCTGTAATCTTAGCAATGAGGAAGGCTGAGTCAGGAGATTCGCAAGTTGGAGTCCTGACTGAGTAACTTAGTGAGATCTTGTTTTAAAATAAAAAATAAAAGGGGGGCCAAAGGGGGCCAGGGATTTAGCTCAGTGGCACCGCGCCTGTCTTGCAAGCACAAGGTCCTGTGTTCGATCCCCAGTACCAAAAAAAGGGGTGGGGGGAGCTAAGGATGTAGCTCAGTGGTGGAGAGCACCTGAGTTACTTTGATCCCCCAATATCACCAAAAAAGGGGCCCACTTAAATTTATAAATATGAAAAATGTCTATACTAAAAAAGAAGGTTCTCAAGTCAATAACTGAAGCTTCCAACTTGAGACACTAAATGAAACAGCAAATTAGACCCAAAACAAGAAAATAGGAAAAAATGAATGAGCAGAAATCAATGAAATTGAAATAAACAAAAAAAATCAAGGAGCTAGTTCTAGTTCTTTGCATGGATCAATACTAATACATCTCTAGCCAGACTATATGAGAGAGAGAGAGAGGAGAGAGAGAGAGACAGAGACAGAGACAGAGACAGACAGGCAGGATGAAAAAGAGGACATCACTACAGATTCTATAGACATTACAAAAATAAATAAATTTTACAAAGACAACAACTATGTCAACAACTTGGCTAACTTAGATGCAAATACTCCTTGAAAAACACAAACTAATCAGCTCACTCAAGAAGAAATAAATAACCTAACTAGGTCCTTATCCATTGTAGAAACTGAATCTCTATTTTAAAGTCTTCATTCAGAGAGTTATAATGGTAAAGTTCTTCATTCAGAGAACTATAATGGTAAATTCTAAACGCTTAAAATGAAATTGCACTTCTTTAAAAAAAAAGTTAGAAGGCCGGGGATTTAGCTCAGTGGTTCTGCCACCTGCCTTGCAAGCACAAGGACCCGAGTTCGATCCTGGGTACCAAAAAACAAAACAAACAAAAAGTTAAAGACTGAAAGTGAAGAAATAAAAATGTGTTTACTTCAAATAGTACAACCATCTACTTAGAAAATCCCAATGACAGGCCAGGGATTTAGCTCAGTGGTTCCGCCATCTACTTGGAAGCACAAGGTCCCGAGTTTGATACCTGGCACTCAAAACAACAAAATAACAACAACAAATCCCAATGAACCTCCTGAAAAAAAGCTACAAAACCTATTGAAATACTGTGAGTTTACCAACATTGCAGAATACAAGGTCAAAACACAAAATTCAATTTTACTTCTCTAAGCTAGCAAAAGACAATTAGAAATACAGGAACAAAAAATATGAAATAATTCGATGAAAAACTTTTTAAAAACATGATCAAAGTTGTATGCTCAAAGCTACAAAATATAAAAGCGAAACTTAAAGAGAGAACTACCATGTTCATGAAATGGAAAATTCAGTACTGTTAACGCATCAAGTCTCCCTAACCAGGTAGTATCTCCTTGTGATTCAATGCAACCCTCAGAGGTGCCAGGAGACTTTTCCCAGCCCTCTCACACTGCACTTCACTTTGCACAGCTAGATACATGAAGGATGTTTCCCCACACACCAAGCAAGTCTGCAGCAGACACTAGCTGGTGTCCTCTGATCCGATTCAACTCTGACACTATCCATCTGGAGATAGTAGCAGACCTCACGGGTTGAGCACTCCACCTCCTAAGACTGCCCCCAACTTCAGAAGGCAGCTGGAAGTAATGATGGCCACTCACACTTCCAACCACCCCCTATAAACCATGGATTCCCGCAACCCATCCTTGGGTTTGATTAATATGCTGGAGTGGCTCACAAACTCAGGGAAACACTGTGCTTACATTTACTTACTTATTCATAAAGACCATTCGAAGGATAAAGAACAGCCAAAGAGAAATGCACAGAGTGAGGTATGAAGGAAGGGGTGTGAAGTTTCCACGCCCTCCTCAGGCATACTGTATGTTCAGCTACCTGGAAGTTCTTCAAACCCAGCTCTTCTAGGTTTTTAATGAAAGCTCCATTACGTAGGTATGATTAATTAAATCACTGGTCAGTCACGCAGAACATGCCAAATCAGCCCCCTGCAGACAGGCAGGTCTGTGGACCCATATCAAGGTCACGAGTCGCGCAGAATAAGCCAAATCAGCCCGTGCCCTGGCAGCAATCCACTGGACACCACCCCCACCCCCCGCCTCTTCTCTGTACAGCCACCTGGTTCCACACTACAAAGATGCAGAGGACACCAGACCACCAGACCACTGTACTGGGTAAGTTGGAGTCATCTTCACCTCTCATCAGGATGGGGACTATCTTCAAGGGAAGGGCAGCTGGAACCTGCAATACAACTCTGCAGAGTTCAACCCTACAGGAGGACAGGGAGCTCAACTTGGGCCTTGCAGCCAGAAATCTGCCTGAATCTCACGGGTCTGTGACTAGCTTGCTGAGACTTATTGACTTCTATCTGCACACTGCTACCCACCTTGTCTATTGTGACATCAGAAACATACCCTGAAAGAGGCTGTTCATCTTCATTATTATTTTTTATTCCCAAAATTAGTATTATTAGTTTGGTTTTTTTTCTCTTTTCTTTTGCTGCTCTTATCTTTAATTTTTTTTCCTACTCTTTGCAAATGTTTGTTTTTCTCTCCTTTTTTTTCTTTTCTTCTTTCTTTTCTCTTTCCTTTCTCTCCCTCTTACACTCACTCTCTTGCTCCCCCACATTGTTCATCTTCCCTTTTTGTCCCTGTTTTGGTCCTCATTCGGAGTTCTTCTTTATTTTCCTATTATTCTCTTTTTCCTTCTCACCTGTGTCCTCTGGCCACACTGCTAATCTTCCCTTATCCTTCTTCGCATCTGTCCCTCCCTCCCC